GTGACGTGCTTTTTAGCAGGGCCTGGAGTGACAGGACAAGGGGTGATGGTTGTAAACTAAACGAGGGGAGACTTTGACTGGACATAAGGAAGAAATGTTCTACAGTGAGGGTGGTGAAGCACTGGCACAGGTTGCCCAGAGAGGTGGGAGATGCCCCATCCCTGGAAACATCCCAGGCCAGGCTGGACGGGGCTCTGAGCACCCTGACCCAGTTGAAGATGTCCCTGCCCACGGCAGGGGGCTGGGCTGGATGGCCTCTAAAGGTCCCTTCCCACCCAAACCATTCAATGATTCTATGACTGTACAGGCCTGTTGCTAAAGGCAGCTTGGTTTTTCTCTCTCCCCATGTCAGGCTTCTGCACGATATTGCATCCGACCTGCGTACGTCTGTCCTTTCCGGCCTGCCATCTTCACGTGTCTTTGTACAGGCTGTGGTCCTGTGTAAGGTCTCGCTGTGGTTGCTCTTGTCTCTCTGTGTTCGTGAAATAATGTTTAGAGACGAGTCCAGTACACATTCCCTGGTGGTGCTGTGTTATACAAGCATGTAATAAGTGATAATTTCTGCTCCAAAGAACTTGCAATTAATAGTTGAATAAAATGGGTTTGAGAGCGGTTATCACCTGGTGAGATTAAGAACTAAGCTTTTGAATGATATTAACAATTTTTTTATTTTGTTAGGAAAACATATCCTGTATTGAAAAGGATATATTGTCTCTGAAAATAACCTCTTCTTTTTAGGTTTAGAATTTTAAAAAAATCTAAGCATGGAATCCAGAGTTCAGTGAATTGTTGACCATTTGAATTCTACATTTTGCTCTAATCTAGTTTTAATATGCTAATAGACATAGTTTCCTTCCTTTCTGTTGTCCAGGCCACAGGATTTCATTGGAAGAAAGCTATCGGAGAAACTCAGCTTAAATTTTCTTGCTGCACTAGCCCAAGTCATTCTGTCCTCTCTGGTATTTGCACCGGTGCCAGCTGCACGGGTCGCCACAGAAGGTTAATATTTGCTAATGGCAATTCTGCTCTGGGTTTATGGTGCAGCTATAAGACAATACCTAGTGAATGCTGGCTGACTGCAGCCCACAGCGTAACGCTAGCTCACGTTAGTATCCCTGTATGTTCTCTCCACTCGCTCATGGGCTCTCATCATTGTAAAGCCGCCTTTTTCCTTTCTCCTGGCTGCCGCAAGGCCATTTTGGGTTATTATCACGGTGTTAGAACAAGGAGTCTTATGTAGCACGTACCTATTTCTTTTACAACATTAGTCCCACTGCCTCTATATCTGAATGATTCTCTTTTCCTTTTCCCAGGTGCGGTATTAAAAAAAAAAAAAAAATGTTCTCCCGACTAAGAGTAGCCACCACTCCCTGTGCGGTGGCATGTCGCAGCGCACATACGAAAGAAAAAGGCAAGCCACTGATGTTAAACCCACGAACAAACAAGGTTGGTAGTGTGTGCTTATCAAATATCTTATCTTCATCCGGTAGTTGTCCAGTGGACGTTGTTCTGGGGTTAAACCACCTCCAGGAGGTGTACTGGGCCACAGCCAAAAAAGGGTACAGAAGATGGAGGGGTCGGTGATCATTTCAACTTTACTACATGGACACCTGCAGTACAAGGACTTCCAATAACACCTTCTGCTTCTGTCAGCCGGTGCTTCCCCTGGTTTGCTGTGCTTTACACAATCAGTACTGCTGCTTCCTTGTGCCAAATGAAGAGTCCCTGATTCTTGCCGATGACTGGCTTAGTTTTTGGGCTGGTTGAAGTAAACTTTAGCAGATAGGGTCTTATTTCATAGTTTGCAAAAGCTAATTCTGAATGCAGTCTCGTTAGTGATAGAAAGCATTAGCCTCTCCGTCCTAGTCCTGGCTTTTTCCTGCAAGACTGTGAATTGGGACCGAGCCATATCAGTAAGAAACATCCCTGTGCAGAGAGTCGGACAGAGAGCATCTAAAAATAAGCCTTGAACAGAGTTAGCTGGGAGGTAGAGACATTATGTTAATTCCATGCGTTGGGAGGAACTTCTCCTAAGAAAGTAGCTTTTTTTTTTTGTTTCCCTTCACAAAAATTTTCCAATTTCCACAACCTCATCCCCAATCTCTTTTTTTTCCGAAGAGTGGCAGTAGCCTTCAGGAATATTGAAAAAATTAATGTGTAAACTAAAACTAGTAAGAAATGAGATGAGGGCTTTTGGTAGCTGATCCAAGATGTCTAAAGGGGTTGAGAAAGGTGACAAATCTAGCTGCCTCTGACAGGCTGTTTCCTGAGCAATGGAGCTATGGAAGCTGGACTTCCATAGCTTTATCCTATGTTTTTAATGTCTGGCTTTTCTCCTCTTCCCCATTCTCTGATTTTATTTTTTTCCCCTCCTGTAATGCCTTGTATTTCCCCTTCACTGTAAACTTCCTTCCCTTCCTTTTCTGCCCACGGCCCTGACTCCTTCTCCCCTCCTGTATTCTTAGCTCCTTCCCATGTCCCCTTTGCCTAGACACAAAGAAGCATGTGCTGCTATAAATTGGCCAGCTGGCAAGCCAGGCACATAACCCCAAGCCTTTCTCTCAGCAGAAGGGCTGGGCTGGCTCTTTCCTCTGCACAGCAATTTTTTTTTTTTTTTCTTTTCTTTGTCCCTCTCTTTTTGTCAGAAATTGGCCAGTGAGCTCAAAATACTGGGGAGCATATCAAGCTAGGAACTGCAAGCTGCATCTCCTTGTGTCCTGCCCATAACGACGGGGAGAATTGCTCATGTTTCTGTTGGCAAAAGTGGTTCCTGAGTGTCCTGAAAAGAAAAGACGACAAAGTGTAGACCTGTAGTCATGTTTCTTACTGTTTCTTGTACAGTATAGTGTAGTGTGAGATGCCTTGACACCGCATGAATGCAGGTTGCGTATGTAGAGAGCGAGCTGTAGAAGTCAGGGACTGGCTGACTGCAAAAAATAAAACTGGGATTGCCATGTTGGGGAAGGAGAAAAGAGTAGATTGGTTTGAGTTGTCAAGATGAGATTATCTCGAGACTTTTCTGAGCTATAAACACTTTGACATGCCAGTGGAAATTATTTCAAGCCCTGTAAGCTTTTCCAAGTGCTGATTATGCAACAGGATCCAGAAACAAAAACAATAGGTCATTTCTTACTGGTTTTCTAGTGGTAATATCTTTCTAATTTTTTTTTTTTTTAAGCCTGGAATTCTCTGGTGGACTGAGCACAATGCAGTATTTTTTATGGGGTTTTTTTTGAGGAGGAGGGAAGAACAGAGAGCTGTTTATTAATAGCCGTTGATCTATTTGGTTTTTTATTTTTTAATGTCTCCAGGAAATTATACTTGTGAGAGGAAAAAAAAAAAACTTTCCACATTTGTTCAGCTCTGTTGTATCAGCCTGTCGTTAAGGCTGACACCTGTTTGAATGGATCTGTGAGCTAGTTAAGTGATACTGCTTGATACTGGATGCAGTATCTGTATAGAAATGCATTTTGGAAATTCAGCAGAGAAATAAATGATTGACTAAATATGGAAAGTACTTTACCCTTTGTGCTTTTCTTGCCCACAGTGCCTCACGCGCATACATATATACCTACGGGCACAGATAAAGGGCTTTATCTCTTGCTGGCAGCTTGTTGATCATCATTTTATGACTTGTGTTTTAGTTGCTTATGTTTAGTTTTTACAGTCCCTGTCAACTCTGCAGAACATTTGGTCTCCTTTAATACACGTGGGCCCTAAAATAAGAACTGCAAGATGGCAGCATCGCTAACAGAAAACCACCCCTTCCCCTTGCGCAAATAAATCTGCTCCTGTTCTTTGCCATTGGCATAGGTTTTTCTCTTACCATTTGGGTTTTTTTTCTTTTCTTTTCCCATCCTTACCTCTCTTTCGCAGGTACATACTACACCTACATCAACTGGTTTGGGTTTTTCCGTTTGAAGGCCACCTTTCAAGTGTTTATTGTCAGGGTGGCTCAGAAAAGGTCATGAGCTATATCAGTAACGCCCTTGCTGCTGCAGCCAAACAATTGCAGAACATACTGTAACTGCATTGCTGGCATCCATGTATATTTACGATCTTCCGTGATGTTTGATTTCTGCTCTGTGACAGGGATTCAAATTACAGTTAATTGGCTTCAGGACCTTTTATTCTGCTGGAAATCCCTGCTGTGCCAAGGCAGCATTTTAAGCTTGTTGGGCGCCGACAACACTGTTAGGACAATCTCATTTGTTTAGTACTGGCAATTAAATTGTTATTTATATTGTGGGAATGCTTCGGATTCTCACTAAGGGCCAGGACTGCTTCTTCCAGCACAGAACAGATGATGGAGCGGATGATCCCTGACCTCGGCAACGTCCATTTGGCCGTGTAGAGTGGCATCAGAATGTCTTTATCTTCACTGGAAGGATGTGACCTGTAACATTATTCGTATGTTTGCTTTCTGTGTGCTTGCAGCAAATTTGTGACTTTCTGTATTTTAGTTAGTGATTTTTCTACTTTGTGGCATCAATTCTTGTTACTCTCTAAGTGCATGACTGTATTTTGTGCAGTGGATTCCATTACCCCTTCTTCTATTACTCTGTTCCTCAATATTGTTTTGGTTATTTCATTCTTTAATATCGTTCTCCTGTACTGACAATACCTCCCAATTTTTTAGCATCAGCAGATATCTTTAGGACGTTGCATTAAACACACACGTGCATGCGTATGTATTTGTACGAATGTATATGCCTGGGCACCCGTGTGTGGGAATACATGATAAATTTTTAAAAAGAGTTCACTGACGGTGTCACAAGTGGTGGTTTAATCCCAGAGCGATTCCTGAGGAACTGTCCCAGTGTCTGTCTCACATGGGGGCGGTCATCTCCTGTCTTGTATTTAGCTAGACCATTAATCACAGTTTCAGCTGTATTCATTCCCAGCTTTTGCAGCCCAATTTATTTTCATCTGTACCTTACTGAATACTTCCAGAAGCTCTGATGGATTACCTTTGTTTAAAGAACCAGTTCTCTTAACAAAGATGTACGTGACCTCACTGACTTCTGGCAAATACCCGGACGGTGTGTTTCCAATTCAGAATAAAAACCAACCAAACAAAAAAAAGCCAACCCAAAGTTAAAGCTAGTTGGACAAAATAAATAGGATAGGACAGGAGAATGTGAAGAAGGATTTTATGAACTTGAAGATCTAAAAAGCAGATGCTCCCTTTCCCCTTCCCATGCCCTTTCTCACCATGTTTTTTGATGCATTTGATGTCTTTTGTTTTAATACTCTTTAGACTGTGTCAGTTGGGTCGAGCAGCCAGGGTGTGGAATACGCAATGCCCGGCTGCCTTCCTGGGGAAACCAGGATAAACAGGATGTGGAGATGTACTGCAGATGGTAATTGTCATGCCGCTAAGAAATGCAGTGCTTGAAATACTACCAGCAGTTTCTGATCAGTCACAAAGAAGGATCCTAGAAGGCAGGAAGTTGATAGAAGCCGCTCGTTTCCTTGCACGCACACGCACCCACCCAGAAGTCCCACCACAAGTTCAGTGTCCTGCCCAACGGGTTTGGAGATGGAGGGGTTGTTGGATGGAGGTTGCAGGGGCATGCATCTGCAGCTTTTGTCAACTTCCTTGAGATCTGCGTGCTTTTAAAGGGAATTAAATGCGGAAAGATGGAACCGTTTAATCTGTAACCAGCTTTTATCGCCTGTTGGAAGAGGTGCTACAAGTGCCAAAGGTGGTAGGTAGTATTGCACCTCGTTTAGCTTAGGTCATCTGTTCTGCTCAGGGCTTGTGAGCTGCTGGGATGGTGGGTGGAGGAGGAAAGGAAGGAAGCCGTCTTGTTTTTTAGTTCTTTTGATTTCTTTTTTTTTATTGTAGGATTAATGCAATTAAAGGAGAACAAAAGCAATGGCATCTGCTCAGTTAGAAAAACAGCAGTTTAAGGAAATGTCTCTGAGGTCTTCAGCGATGCTATACGGTGTAGATGAACCATTTCAGTCCATCACGCTCATGATTTGCAATGTACAGCTTTACCATAACTGTTGGTGCTTGGAAACAAACCCTAGAGAGGCCGGATGACTTTTATGCTGGTGTGTAAAGGCTTTCAGTTTCTGACTTTTTTCCCATTTTCTGCAGGGGAATGCTTTTAGTTGAAGCCACATCATTAGGAAATAAGAGCTACTCTAGGCTAGCTAAGTCTGGTTGCAGCCGAAGTGATTTACATCTGGTTCCACACATACAGAGGCGGCACAAGAACTGGTGGCATCTTTGCCTGCAGAGAGACTTAAGGTCTTTAAAGGTTTAATAACCTGCAGAAGGTCTGGGTCATTTCACAGTTCATTTTTTGCTGGGCTGGGCCAGCCATACCCTCCAGTATGTACACTGTGCTGTTTCTGGAAGAATAAGGATCTGAAATTGAGTTTAAAAAATGAAGGAGGGAAGGAAATCAAAGGAGATTTCCATATTCTATACTGTTCTCATAAACACAGAGAAACTTTGAATCTGTGGTTGAGATAGCAAATGCACCTTTGATTCACATGAGTGAACTTCATTATAATTTGCAGTGGAGACGTGCAATAGCGAACTTTGTGATTTAGCAGAAGGAAGGAGAGTTAGAGAAGCAGCCCACAATCTAATGTAAAATCTACTTTATTTTTAAAATGTTTATGATGCTACTTCAAAGCCTATGATACCCTGCTGAATATGTTATAACAATGATTAGAAGTTACATGGAAAGCATTTGATTAAATCTTCCCGGTGAAGTAGGCGAACTCATTTTCCAAACAGTGGCATGTTTGGATATATTCTGCATTTACATCTTTATCAGGAGCTTTGAATGGGTTATGTGTTACAAACTGTACAGGTTTTCAGAACGCTTGAGAGTATTCATGGTATCAGGTAGAAGTATCCCCTCCTATATATATGCCTGCAAGAATTTGCAGGTGGGGAAAAAATTATCACCGCTAGTACTTCTCTGCTTAGAAACTTCTCAGTATTACTCAGTGGTGCTATAAAAATCATGTTTGCAGGATTCAGGTCTCCTGCTCACCTTCATGCGAAGTAGGCAACCAGAATTTTTATATGTTGGTATTTATAGCACCACTCGCTTTGTGTATTACTGCCCAGTTGTTAGGGCTAAAGCGAGGTCCCAGTGCCGGATAGTTTGTGGATTAAAGGCGCAGTACGTGGTGAGTCAATATGAGCTTGTCTTAACTAAAAAAAACTGTCAGCGCTTCATTTTACTTGCCTTCCCCCCCGCCCCCTGGCATTACGTTGGTTTTGTTGCGATAAATTTGTCCATGCGATTAATTCATTCAGCATCAGTCCCAGTGCTGCAAATTGCTCAGCGCCTCCCGATTCACTGGGAGCTGATCACGGGTTCTGTCAGACTGTGCTTGGGGCTCATAAAATGAGGGAAAAGGCTAGGAGATTTGTAATGCTGTAGCTCCTAGGGACACCGGTTTAAGGAAAATCTCGGTCCTGCGAGGTGCTGTATGGGGAACAAGCCGCAATCCCAAATCCGAAAGGAGAGGCAGCTGACGGTCATGGACAGAGATAATGAATGGGAATAGAGCAAGTGTTGGAAGGGCTTTGGGTTTTTTATAGTGCTGCTCTGGACTAAACATACTCTCTTCTAGTTGGAACGAGGATTAAATTTCTGTATGGAGGCTGATGGCATTCAGGTTCCTGAGTTAGGTCTGGGCAAAAATTAAAGCATCTTTTAATGTGGTAAGATCTAATTGTCACTTAAATAAACAGCTGGAAGTACTTAGTACGGCTTGAAGAATTCGCTGTGTTTAATGTTATTGTAACTCCAGATACGCTGAAAAACCAGCTTGCCTATAGACTGGAAAAATGTGAATAAACTCAATAAAGCTGGGGAGCTGCTGTGTTTAGTACAAACCTCAGGGCACATTTGATGTTATTAAGGACCCAGGTAGTTTAAGGTCACTGGTTTCACTGGGCAGGGAAATTAAGGAAAAGCCATGTGCTGGTGTCATGCGAATAGTGGAAATTAGAAATTAGGTAGACTTTATTTTTAAAGGACTTGAGAGTTTCTGATGGGGAGGGCGTAGGTTTTGCTAGTGAGATATTTCAGCTAGTTTAGAGTAAAATGTCCGCGTAGCCAGTATGGTACCGCTGAAGGGATTCTGGCCCTTGACATCCCTTAAACTACTGGTGTTAGTGGCTTTGCTAACCAGTGTTGATATATCTTCTGAAAAGAGAACAAGCTTTTTTTTTTTTTTTTTTTTTTTTTTTAATCCTTCTTAATATCGTAAATCTTGTGGCATCATTTTTGGGTTTGTCGTGCCTAAAGCAAGAGTCAGAGCATTACGGATGTTTGCCAGCTGTACTCGGTCAGCTTTGTATCCTGAATCGCTTGCGCTGCAAGTGCAGTTTGCGTTGAGAAGCGGTTGTTTGAAAAAGGCATAAACTGCTGATGGTGACAGATTTGGGGGTAAGTAAGGAAAAGGGGACGACAGCCGAGAGGTGTGTTTGCAGGTTCGCTTCCATGCAAATTTGGCAGATGCATTTACCTTCCCAGAGAATCTTTTCAGTATTTCTCGTGAAGTATGCAGAAGTGAAACTAAAGTAGATCCTTTGCAATATAAGAAAAAAAAAAAAGCGTTCAGCATGCGTTCCTCATGTTTGGTTCGTTTTTTTTCTCATGCTGGGGCTGCTTCCGTGGTTGTGTTCTCAGTTGAGGTTTTGGATTATTCAAATCAGTTTTCAGAAAAATTACCATGTGGCTAAAGTGACTGTTCCACCCAGCAAAAGACCAGCAGCAAGGGTAAAAAGTTCAGGAGTAAGCCCTCATCTGAAATTTATTTGCAGACAATATTGGAAGAATACTTGAGAATAACAATTACATGAGGAAAGAAAACAATGGTTAATTACGTGAGGAAAGAAAACAGTGGTTTGTGAATGACCACAGATAGTAGAAAAAGGATAAATTGAGTTCAGTATTTAATATCAAATCTGTTACCTGCAAAGCGGTGATCTAGTTTAGGGTTAAATACTTAGTTTTTTGCAAGAAAGTATTTGCAAGTGTTTTTTGCAAAACACTGAAGTTTTTTGGCTTGGTTCTTTCTTTCTTGCATTCTAACTCTTCAAATATTTTATTACTTGAGAACATAGTATAGAATTAGTACAGAAAAGCGGGTGGTCTGCTGAAATCCGTGTAGCCAAAACAACTGATATTAAATGCGATTTAAGTAAGAAAAGAGAAAAATTGTGTAAAAATATTATTTTAATTATGTTTTTTCCTAAGGAGTCGTTATATTGGTTATAAACCATTCAAGTGTGATGAATTACACTAAGTATAGACTCTAAATTAGAGATTTTTTTGGTAATGGGTGTGCTTTCTACAAATGCCTGTGAAAGTATTCAAACATAAGCAAAGGGGAAATACACCTATTCTAATCTGAATTTGTCTTTATTCTAAAGTGGGAAAATATTAATTTTTTTCTTGTGGTCTGTCTGATTGCAGGAGGAATTTGGAGTGTAATTACAAGGCATAAAACCTTAGAAAGGTTTTATTAAACCTTTTTTTTTTTTTTTTAAACTTGGCAGCAAGAATCTGCTTCCAGCGTGGGGAAATTTGAGAAAATGTGCTCTTGTTTTTTAATCTAGCTGCTTTAGTAAACAAAGGAAGGGTTGTTTGTGAGCAGAACTGATGTTTCTTGTTTCCATTTTCAAAACATTGCAACGAGCAGACCTTTCCCTTTCAGATTCTGCTTTTGCTCACAGATTGATGCACAGCCTTGGCACGACAAAGGCTTTCCTGGGTTTTCAGCTCCTGCGTTCACAAGTATTGATTAAATCATTCACTGAACCGAGCCAGTGGGATAAACTGCAATAAGGAAAGTTTACCATTGCTCTTTTGGAAGTGGCAAACTTAAAAGTGGGGTCAGTTGTTGTCGGAAATGGGGTCAGCACTTTGAGCCAGGTTGGCTGTGAAGCCGGGCGCGGATCATTTAACGTTCTGCAGCGTTACGCCGCCAGTTAACTGCCCCGTGAAGACGTCTCCGCTAGCAGGTAGCTCGCAGCAGGCTCTTTTGGTGTACTGAGTGAAAAGCCGGTTTTATTGAATGTTCTTGTTAAATAATTCAAATTAGTATTTAAATAACAATAAATTAAACTCTTGATCCACCTTGAAACAGAAAAGAATGGAAATGCTGGGATATTTGTGTGGTTTAACTCTTCTGAAACTGAATTTGTTACAAATGAGTTTGGTAGTAGACGACTACATTTGAAGAGGAACAGCTTAGTTCTAGCCCTAAGTAAGAGTGAAGGATTTGGGTTGAATTGTGATCTCAGCAGAAGCATTAGGGCAGTTCAGTAGCTTTGGGATCTGGCTGGGTTACTGAAAGCATGTAGAAAAAAGCAGCAAATGGAGCAATTCAGAGAAGGCTCTCTGGACTGAATGTTACTGTGAGTGATTGTAGGGACCAGACTGGGTGACCCACATGTTCCTGGTCAACCTGACGTTCCTACGAAAGAACTCAAGAAGCAGCTGTTATTTTACTTTTAAACCTTAGCCTGTCTGCAGTGGGATCTCCTAGTTGTTCTCCAGTTTCGCAGAGGAAAATGAAATCTGGCAAAGGGCACGAGGTCCCCGAGATGTGGAAAAGCTGTGGTCAAAAGGGATACCCACAAAGGATGAGGAGAACCCCAGCAGAGGCAATGACACCCAAACCCTGCCCTCTGTGGCACTGCCATGAGAAAAGGATGCAGTGGGTAGTCTGAAATGGTAAATAGAAAGACATTATAAATAGAAATGCTAGAGGAAGAACTGCTAATTATTTCTCACCTCTCTCATTTTCAGGGTATGGCCTTTACATTACATGAACGACAGATGCTTGGGTTGCAAGGACTTCTACCGCCTAAAATAGAGACACAAGACATTCAAGCGTTACGCTTCCATAAGAATTTGGCAAAAATGACTGACCCCTTGGAAAAGTAAGCACTCCTCTGGCCTTGTTTTGTCATGCAAGTAAATGGAAATTGCCATAAAATATTTCATGGCGATAACCAAACAAGGTTTCTATGCCTTCACTGGGTTTTTCAGTTGTTGCAGGCTATTTTCACTTTTGCACAGAAGATTGCTTTCATCAATCACGCATTTTATCATGCGGCTAAATAAGGTTGGGGAGCTTTTTTCCTTATATTCCATAGATGTAAGATAAAGAAAAAGAATGTGCACAAATTAGCCAGTAACAAAGCTGCAAACCTTGCTGTAATACGTATTTCTGCTGTAATACGTATACTGTATATGTATAAGATTTGGGCGGCAAGTTGTTAGAGCGCAGAACCATTGGAGGGAGGGAAGGGGGCAGCTAGTGCATGCTAGTAAAATATGTGAGAGTGAAGGTAAATTGAGGGTTTTATAATTAGGTATAAAAGTGTTTATCATGTACAGTAGTTTCTGCTAGAAAGGAATTCCAGGGTTAGAATTTTGAGTCTCATAATGGGTAATTTTTTTACATCAATTTTTTTTGTTTAACCCACTGATTTGGTGAAAAGAATGTGAAGGATTTTAATATTTTTTTTTTTTTTTAGAATGGCATGTTTTTAGCATCCTGTTACTGTTTTCATATAAGCCTATGTGTATCTACATGTTCAAATATGCAGCCTCCTAAAGGCAAGAGGAGCACTGGAATGTTTTGAGGCTTACTGGACCACATCAAAACTCTTTTGTTCTCATGGAAGCTGAAAGATGACTTCTAAATCCACATCATGTCCCTTGCTGATCTGAAACAGTCATGTCATCTGTATTGGCAAAGCGCCTGGTTGCTGTAGCCTAAGACAAATTGCTAATTCGTTATCTTTATGTTGTCAGGTCAGCGGGCCTGAATAGGAATTGATAAACAGTAGATTGGTAGGTAAATTTGCAAAAATGCAGGTTTAATTTACACACCTAGGTAAGTCCTTCAAAATGAACTTTTTGTTAGGAGTTAATTTATTTTACAGCTGTGTTAACGCTAGGGTTAACAAGACCTTACTGTCAGGACCTTACTTTTTTGGGATGAAAAATTCTTTCACTGATAATTTTTTTTTTTTTTTAACAGTAATGAGACTCCCAGCTGCATCCTGTAATAAATCCATGGGTTATCTTTTATCGCAGTGCATGTTTGTGCATTCAGTTGTTAGCATGTGTGGTATGTCAGAGCCAGTATTTTTATTTCAGCTTTTTAGTACTGCTACCCTCTCTCTTCCAACTTTTGTTTAGTGCTGAAAGCCCGACTTGAGTGGAAGCATGAATTTCATGAGGAAATAATATGAAGCAAGTTTGGGGTTTGCTTTGACATTTTTCATTGTTTTAAATAAGCATAAATGTGAAACAATAAGTGGTTGGTTTTTGTTTTTTTTTTTTTGCTTCATTTCAGGTATATCTACATAATGGGAATCCAAGAGAGAAATGAAAAATTATTCTATAGGGTATTACAAGATGATATTGAGCGGTTAATGCCAATTGTATACACACCAACAGTAGGCCTTGCCTGCTCCCAGTATGGTCACATCTTCAGGAGACCAAAGTAAGAACAATAAATATATATTGTTGCTATTTTGATTATCGTTTTCTCTGTGTACTTGCCAGAGGTTTGGAAATGTTTTATTTCATTTTGATTCAGCTATACAAGATCTGTGCCAATTCAGGGCCGTAAAGTTACCCATCTGCTCGGGGCGGGTAGCTCACCGTTAAACGCACCCCTGCGCGCAGCCTGCGCAGAGAGGGAACGGGAGTGCACGCACAGCCCTGCAGCAGATTTCCTGGAGGAAGCTCGGGCTAACGGCAGTCCCGGCAGAATCGAAGCCGTGAGCAACATGTTGCTGCTGGTGGCAAAGGGTCCTGGTGCTGGAGGGATTAGAATCATAGAATCACAGAATCCTTTAGGTTGGAAAAGCCCTTTAAGATCATCCAGTCCAACCATTAACCTACACTACCAAGTCTACTCTAAGCCAATCAAGGGTAGACTAGATTCTCGCGACGCTCTGCAGAGCAGCACAGCCTGACATCTTGAGTGCAGGAGCAGAGGCCAGCGAGCCTCCTACTAAATCCAAAACACAGCACTATGCCTGCTACTAGGAAGAAAATTAACTCTATTCCAGCCGAAATACACTTGGCTGGGCTCTGCTTTGGGTTCATTTTTTTTTTCAGCAGTGGCTTCAAATCCACCATTCAGGTTATTAGCTCTGTGTTGAGGAAACCAGTTCAGGCTGGCAGTCATTTCAGCTCGTTTCCATGATACTCTCACTGCAATTCCAAGTGTATTTCTAGAACCCTCTCGCTTGAGGGCTTTAGCGCTGTGTGGAGGAAGGGCTAATCCTTCGCTGCTATGAGGACTCGGCTGAGTAGTGCAGCTGCTGTGATAAAGACAGTAAGAAACTCATGGTTTTGCTCCTGATCTGGGGCTGGGGATGTGAAGGATGTACTCCTAGTTCTCACACACTTCCTTGCCTCTTCCTCGTCTCTGTATGTATAATAGACCAGTTGGAAGACTGTCCCCCTCTAGAAGTTGTACAAGAACAGCAGCATGGACTGAAACTCAGGACGTGCCCCCTTCTTTCCGAGAACCAGCACTTTCCAAGTGTTTCTAATTTATCTGTCACCACCTCTGCTGAGCTGTTCGTGCCCCCTTTCCTCCTAACCACAGAGGGTTTGCTCAAGCAGAAGAAATACAGCCGCTTCTCCTCACCTCTGCTCCTTTGCCTCCTCTCCCGTGTTCCCATGGAGGAGCGCTCCGCAGTGGGCAGCGCTGTTCTCCTCCTGGTCTTGGAGAAGACAGTATGCTCAGTCCCTGTCTTTCTCTTTCCTTTCTTTTCCCTCCCCTCACCTTGTGTAATGTCGTGAACAGAGGTTCACTAAGGTAAATCCAGGCTTAGGATCATGTTCCCGTCTCATACCCTTACAGGGGAGCGTAGATCCTGTCATGTCTGACGCTAACACCAGAGGTGTTTTGCCCTAGAGGAGTATTAAAGGTGAATATCTGTAGTAGTGTGAAATCCAGGTAGCATCATGGAAAGTATATTCTCTGTGTTCTTATTTTAGACCGTCAAAGTAGCTGAATAGGCTGGTGTATTAGAAAGTGTCCTTTGAGTGATTTATGTCAGTGATTGCAACGCTTTCAATTTTAAGAAAATTGTACTGTTTGACATTTAGTTTTACAAAGCAAGGTGAAATTTCTAGTTGCCACCTATAAAATATTTCTGCTTTGGTTTTTTTTTCTTTCAGAGGATTATTTATTTCTATCTCAGACAGAGGCCATATAAGGTCAATTGTGAACAACTGGCCAGAGAACGACGTTAAGGTACTCCCACTGTATAATTTTTTTTTTCTAGGTATTATTTAATCTCAGTTGAGCTTCTTAAGATTTGTTAGTATTTGATGGAAATGTCAGTACTAAATAATGCATCCTTGGCTGTTTGACGATGATGCAAAATACAGCTAATGAAGATAATGCGTACCGTGAAGAGCAATGTTTTACCCTAAATATGAGGTTTATGATTTGAGTAAACAGTGATGCTGAGAACTAGACTTGCCAAACTTTTTATTTTACTTCATTATTCCACCTTTTGGGGAGGGGTTGGGGGATGCACCTCTGGGTCTGTCTTACTGTGTTACGTAGCAGTAGGACAGGTGATCTTGTCCTCAGATTAGGACACAGAAGTGGGAGTTGGGAGGCCCAGATTTTGCCATTAAATCCTGTATGACCCAGTAGGGTTGAGAACCACAGGGGAGATGAGATGAACGATACTTATGCAAACTTTTTGATGTCTGGATTTACAAGTGAGAATAATAAACCCAAGTTACAAGCTGCAATTCCACATGGAACTGCAAATGGCCTCAAGCTGCATCAGGGGAGGTTTAGATTGGATATTAGGAAAAATTTCTTCACGGAAAGGGAGTCAAGCACTGGAACAGGCTGCCCAGAGAGGTGGGGGAGTCCCCATCCCTGGAAGTGTTCAAAAAACAGGCAGACATGGCACTTTGGGCCATGGTTTAGTGGGCATGGGGGTGTTGAGTTGATGGTTGGACTGATGATCTTAGAGATCCTTTCCAACCTTAGTGATTCTGTTCTCGTTTTATTTTCATTAAAAAATAATCCAGCCACCAAGCCAGGAAACATGAAATTGCTACTCTCCCCTTAATTGTTTTCGTGGTGGACTTGGCACTGTTAGGTTAATGGTTGGACTGTATGATCTTAAAGGTCTTTTCCAACCTAAACCATTCTATGATTCTATGGCAGCTTGGATCCTTCCCACTTAGCTTTCAAGGATTTGGGCAGTGGATTTCAGCAAAGAAAAAGGAGCATAGCAGATTCTAACGTTAGGCATTATTGCTTCAAGTAAAACATTCCTTGTAATCTATTCTTTGTTTGACTGTGTAAACATACCTTAATTTTTGCCTGGAAAAAACCACAACTGGTATTGCTCTAAACTTGATAAATTTCAGTGATCGTACATCATTTCACCTGCTTTTGTTTTCAGGCTGTTGTCGTCACTGATGGAGAAAGAATACTGGGTCTTGGAGACCTAGGTGTGTATGGGATGGGAATTCCAGTAGGAAAACTGTGTTTGTATACAGCTTGTGCAGGAATACATCCAGATAAATGCTTGCCTGTGTGCATCGACGTTGGAACTGATAATACAGTGAGTTTGACTGAACTTTGCCTGCCATAAGTTATCCCTATGAAAAGTATTTATTTAAAAGTATTTAGTACTATAAGAGAAGATTTTTGTTTGTGCACTTTCATTTAAGATAAACCCCAATATTTTATGTAAGTGTAAATGATTTGGAATTCACTTTAGAGTTACACATCAGTGATTGAAAAACGCCAGTTAATTTGTCAGTGAAATGGTGCGTTTGGAAGTAATTTGAATGCTGGAACACTGTAAAATAGACAGTCAGGTTGACCTGACTTTAAGCAGCTGGAAATGTGAATCGGATTTATTAAAGTATTGTTCACAGTATCGATTTGTTCCACTTTAAAAGCAGCCATCACCAGCCTCAATTGCCAGCTGAAATTACTGAACATTGATACAGACTGGAGGCAGTTACAATGGCTATATAAATGCAGTATCTTTGGTGTGAAATGTGTTACTGTGAACTCTGGAAAGTGTATATTGAGGAAGTGATTCATCCTGCTGCTGTCTTTGATTTATTCTTTTTCAGACACTCCTAAAAGATCCATTTTATATGGGCCTGTACCAAAAAAGGGATCGCTCGCAGGTCTATGATGACTTAATTGATGAATTTATGGAAGCCATTACAGACAGGTATGACACTGAATATTCTGCACAGAATTATGGCCAGAACTGCTGGCAAAAAGTCCCCATAGCACGCTGTCCTTGAAACAGTCATTTAGGGAATAAGGATAGGACTAGAAGTCAAGAGACGTGGCTGTATTTCTGGCTCTGTAGTGATTTTCTCTGTGACCTGGAACATGCTGCTTGTAGTTATCTGTTAAATATGCACAGAACGGAGACAGAACTATATTAAGCAGTGACAGGCCTGAGGACATCTTCTTTCCAAAGATAATTGAGTACGTGCGGGATTTGTTTTAAAAGGATTTTATTTCTTTATGTGTCTAGTGATAGGAATATTTGTCATGTTCTGCAGGTATGGCCAGAACACCCTTATCCAATTTGAAGACTTTGGAAACCACAATGCTTTTCGGTTTCTAAGAAAATACAGAGAGAAATACTGTACCTTCAATGACGACATTCAAGGTATACCCTTTGTTTAGGTTCTTTAATGTATATGCAGAACCCTTGCCTAAAACCATAATCTGCCATCTAGGTCTGTTCAGCTCTCCTTAGATTTGTACTGCTTTTACAGGGACAGCTTCAGTGGCCTTGGCAGGACTGCTGGCAGCACAGAAAGCCACCGGTAAACCACTTGCAGAGCAGAAAGTGCTGTTCCTTGGAGCAGGAGAGGTGAGTTCTCTTAAGGGCTCTAGAGCCACAAGAGATTGAACTGTCTGTCTGCTGTTCTGTGGGACTTGCGGAGATTCACATTCTCTGAATTCCATTGCAGAACTTTTTATATAACGTCAGCTGAAATACGTTAACAGGAGGGACCACCTGCTTAAAGATGGCTATTTGAAAGGTGTTTAATGTTTGCACGGACTCAAGTTTTTCATTTTCACTTGAAAAAAAGCATCAGGGCCTTGCGTGTAGTTGAAAGGGAATTTACCACAAAATTATGATTTAGTAACAAAGGGGGTAAGAACATCTTGTGAATTTTTGTAGCATTGGAGAGAAGCACACAGCAGTTTTCTTAGCAAGTTAAATCAGTGGCTGTTTGCAGCAGACACTAGTTAGTTACTGGGGCAGCCGTGTCAGGACCAGCACCATGCTTCTTGGTATATCAGCAAAATTGCTTCTATGGTGCTGACAAAATAACTTAATTAACTGAAAATTTCTCCAGCTGGGATAGGTCCAGATTGCAGTAATTGGCCGATGTTGTGTTGTTGCCTGAGCACTGAGCCCTGCTTTGCACTTCCCTCTACCTTCTTTCTCCTGCCAGACTTAGCAGCCTGCACAGTGAGCCAAGAGAAGGGACGTGGAGGGAAGCGCTGCCAGCATCTGCTTTCTGCCCTCTGTCTGCAAGGCCTTTATCACAGGCAGCAGGAGCAGAGAGAGGTTGGGAAAGCAGCTGGGCACAAAATACTACGCCGTGGTTTCATGATACTGTTGATCCCAGGAGCCTGCCCCCATCTAGGCAGACATTGCTTGTGTTTCAGAGCTGATTACTAAGTGATTTTTGTGGGGGTCTTGAACAGGGTGGGGTTTGTGATGAGAGACCTCTTTTGTGACTCATTAAAAACCAAAGTCCTTTTATCCACAAGGCCGCCTTGGGAATTGCAAACCTCATTGTTATGGCTATGATGGAAACCGGTGTTTCTGCTGAGGAAGCCTACAGGAGAATATGGATGTTTGACAAATATGGTTTACTGGTTCAGGTAGGGGTGTGCCATGCTTGGAAATACCACAGTACAGGTGGCCAGTGCTTTCCATGTCCTTCTCACAAGAAGAATCAACTTTTTATCTATAGGGCCGAGAGCAAAAGGTAGATTCCTATCAAGAACCATTTACGCATCAGGCTCCAGAGCAGATACCAAAGACATTTGTAGAGGCAGTGAACATACTTCGGCCTTCAGCTATCATTGGTAAGTAAGGTTATTTTTGTTTCTGCGATTCCATCATTTGGTCATTTGCTGCATTTAATTTGCTAACCTGGCTCCAAGGAGGTTGGTGACTGTGATCTGCATTTCTGCTGGTGTAAATAAGATGAAAATGTGAGGTCAATTTTCTGCTTGAAAATACACTGAGCTGCAGGTTAGCGCATCCTTCGTTGCAGCTGTGGTGTTCCTACTGCATCTTGTGTCCTTGTTAATGGATTCCTCTAGTCCTTGCCCAGCTGCTGTTGGACCTTTCTTGGAAAACCTTGAGCGTCTTCTCAGGGACTGCATGGCCGCAATGAGCTGAAACTGTCATGAAGAGCACTAAGAGTCAGGAAGACAAAAATAAAACCTTTTTCCCCAGACACGGTCCCTACACCAGCAGCAAGGGAGGGAGCCGTCACAAACACCACATTTTCTGCTTTACGCGAGTTCCCTAACTTGAGTAGTTTTTTTTTTTTTTTTTTCCTGACTTTCCTTCCCCCAGTCAGCTTCTCTGGCCAGAAGCTGCTAGCAGCATGGCTTGAAGGAGCTGTTTCATACTGCAGATGACCAATACTTGTTAGGTCACGGACATACGTAGGTATTGATTTATAACCGTGGCTGCATGCAGAGGTGAGATGGGATTACAGGTACTTCCTGGTACGGCTCTGCAATTTCCTTTGTGTGTGATTTATTTGGAAAAGAAAAGGGTTTGGGCTGAGTAGCTACCCTGAAGTTTGTAGACGGTGTACAAATGTACACCATTTTTATGTATTTGTAGCTATGTGTTTGTGTGTGGTCAGAAATACCAATATCAAGGGAATGTGCGTTGCACAGTTAACACCCAGCTAGGATCAATCATCTGTAAGGAACCTGGAGTTCCCACTTGCTTATCCATGGCAGGGATAAGTGTTCTTTACACAGATTGATACAAAAAAAATCATGTAAAATAGGCTTTTGGAACACATCAATTAGATGTTCCTGTGAAAATGAGAATTTTAAGCAGCCACTAACAGAGCAGTGCCTGGTTTCCATCTCCTGCTGCTAGAAAAGCCTGCGATGCTTTGCTCTGAGTGGGAGACTTCAGGGTTGACACAAACTTAATCTACAGTCGCTGTCATCTGCCCTGAGGCAGTCAAGTATTGATTCTGTTTTTACGTGTTTCCATTTACTTCAGGAGTTGCAGGAGCTGGGCGGCTCTTCTCTCAGGATGTGATCAAAGCCATGGCCTCTATCAATGAGCGACCCATAATATTTGCACTAAGTAACCCTACAGTGAAAGCTGAATGCACAGCAGAGGAAGCATATACGTTAACAGAGGTATGTAATGTTCAGAAATGCTGACCTGTTGGCACTTAGTGATAGAACTGTTTACTGAGTGTGAGAATGCAAGAACTCAGATTATGTTATTATTACTTGGATTTACTAACATAATAATACAGATCTTTCTTGTCTTCTGGCAAAAGCAAATGGAGGTGATTTGAGAAGTAGTCTTGATTTTTAAATAACGACATTTTGCAAGGCTTAAAATAGCCTAAATCTTGTATTACATTTTTAAAAGAATGACCACTAGGTACTGTTTCATAGCTTTGATCAATTAACTGATTCCCACCTTGCTTTTTAATTATTTTGGGTTTTAAAGAAATATCTTATGTTAACATTGTAATAGAGAGACTAGGTGCAACCTTGAAAATGTAATGGCTGAATAAAGTCCTTAAAGCCGGGTATGTCCTTGCATGAATCCAGGAATTCTGCTTTGCGCTCAGTCATTTCCTAACGTCTGCAGGTCAGAACTCGTATCGTTAACAGCGACTTGTGAAGACCTGTGCTTCCAGGGCAGGAGTCTGTGGTGGCCCTCTGTCCTCCTGTTCCCCTCTCGCAATGTCTGCGTCCTGTACGCTGGCACCACCAAACGCCGAAATGGGTGAACCCAGAATAGAATCATAGAATTGTTTAGGTTGGAAAAGACCTTTAAGATCATCCAGTCCAACCATTAACCTAACACTACCAAGTCCACCACTAAACCAATTAAGGGGAGAGTAGCAATTTCATGTTTCCTGGCTTGGGGGGTGGCATTATTTTTAATGAAAGTAAAACTGGGAATCACTAAGGTTGGAAAGGATCTCTAAGATCATCAGTCCAACCATCAACCCAACACCCCCATGCCCACTAAACCATGTCCCCAAGTGCCACATCTGCCCGTTTTTTGAGCACTTCAGGGATGGTGAAACACACCCGTCCAGGACTCTTACCTCAAAGCCAGTACACTGTGGGGTGCGTGGGGGGGGGCTTTGAAATTGGGGGTTTGGGGTGTTTTTTTAATAACGCTATCACCAGCACATCGAGACCTTGGCTTTGCCTTTAATGAAGCAAGTCTTTTATCCTTCTGCACAACTTTTTATATAAAAGAAACCTAATAATCTTTGAAGAGAGCCTGAGGGGAAGGAAGTGGGGGCAAGGGAGCATCAGGCAGACGGAGCGCTAGCTTCAACACTTTGAACTGGCTGGTGATGCCTTTCGTAGGCTCCAGCTCGCTGTGATCTCTCCCCTGTCCACAGGGCCTGCCTGCAGACTTCAGGGGTGGGGCTCATGAAAAGACTTCTTTTTTTCCTTTCTTTTTTTTTTTTTTAATACAGTCCCAAATCAAGTGACTCATATGTGAAAATAAGCGGGTGGAGAGCTTTCTTTGTTTCTTGATGCAGAACTATGAACTCCTTCCTTCCACTGTTAGTGTGGCTCAGTTTCCAGCATTGTTAGATTCACACCGGGAAGGGTAAACTCCATCGTCTCCACTTGGCTCCCAGATTCCCTTCCGTGTTCTTGGGCCCATCAGCTCGGAGGGAACTCTTGCTACAGAGATTTGCAGGTCCAGAATGAGCCCTAGGCGCAGGAGTAACAGCCTCTGGACAAAATGTAGACCTTAGGTTTTAACAGTAAATGAGAACACTGTTAAATGAAGATGGTTTAATATCTCTCAGATATCTTGCATTAGCCAGGATAGTGAGTTAGGCAGTGTTGCAGTATATAAATTCCAGTATCTTTGATAGAAAGTAAAGAAGAGTTAGATATATAGCCAAGCCTTTAGCTGGCATAAATAAATGTAAACACTGCTGGTATCTCTGATGGCTGAAGGAGGCCAGCAGCACTATTAGAGGGAGAATCAGCCTAATTTTTGCTTGCATTTTTTGTAGAATCTCAACAGAGCAATAGATATTCTAAGGGAAGAGGCTCACTTGTTCCCCATGGCTGTGTGTTGAGTCCCAAGGAGTTGGACCTCAGGGTAGTTGTCGCTATCAGATGCAGAAGCAAGACAGCGCTGGTTAGATTCAGGCATGGTAACATGTCTTCACTGAAGTAGCTGTGTGAGCATAGTGCTATTGAAAAGGTTTGTGCCAAATGGAGAGATGATCTTTGGTTTTTTCCTGTATTGGATCCGTATGTCCTTTTATTCATGATTTTCCTTAAGTTATTATTCATAGACATGGGTTATTTGGACAATTAAATATTACTGGTCAGTAAATGAATGGGTGTAATTTTGTTCCAGTCCTTATTAATAAATTTTGTAATGTTTCTGTCTCTTTAGACTTTTCTCCGTATCTGATGTTTGTTTTCATAAGGCTCTTTAGTTCTCAAAAATGTACTCAGTTTACCCATAGTTTGCCCGTCAAAATGTATAATATTTTTCCTTTCAAAATACAGTAATTACCTAGAAAATCCTCTCTGATTTCACTTACTTTTTCATTTAACTAACAAAGTTTGTCAGGCAATTAGGGATCAGAGCTGTCAGCCCCGTGTGTCACCTGGCCTTGGGAATAGCCTAATCCTGGCTGGTGTGAAATCTTAGGCTAAACTAGGAAGTCAGTAAGGAAACGATGATACCATCACTAACCTTTTATTCCTTATTCTTTTTCCACTAGATGGCACCTGTAAAAGCCTGACGATGCTTTAGTGCCCTCTGCCACTGTGTATTGTGCAGGCTTTTGTTGTGTTTTAATTATTATTGTCTTTTGGCCCTGTCCTCAAATGCATCCAGATGTTTTCCTCCCTACACAAAAAGGCTATTGTCATGGGTATGCCCTAACATTCATAGATTCCGAGTCTTTAGCTTCTTTGGAAATTCGTTCTCAAATGTAGTGGTCCTGGGGAGCCTTAAATATTTTAAAGTAATGTTATTAAAGCTGTTACTCAAAAGAAAGTCCAGATTTTTTGCTTACAGGGGTTTTATGGCTTGAAGACAGGGTCATTTATCTGGAAGGCATATTTCACACGCCAGACTCGGGATTTGTTTTAGTATTTTGTGCTGATTAAAATCCTTTTCAAAGGAAGGATAAGCAAACTGCGTTATTCACTGCTCTCAGCAATAAAAGTTATGATGCAGCAGTCCCTCCCTTCACCCTCCCACCCATCAGTAAACAAGTGGCCTTTTGTTACTGTACTTCTATTTCAGTCTCCCTTTGGAAGTGGCCATTATTCAGCTGGCTTTGTACAGCCCCTACGGCGGTGGGTCCTGGCTTGTGGCCACGGTCCCTGATACGTGGTTATGGTTATAATAACGGCTCACACACAAGTACTTTATTTTGTGTGCGAGCAGTTCCTCTAAGTCATTGCTGTCTTAAAGAACGATGAACGATAAAACACATGTGTGCGCTTGCCTCTTTTGCTTTCCAGATGTTTGCTGCGGGAACATTGCACGTTCTGCAGCTGCAGAAACATGCAGGTGCTTACTGACGCCTGTGCCTCTTCCAGGCCCTACTGGAAAAGGGTGGGTTTGGTTGTTGTCGTTCTGGGATTGTAGAAATTGAGTCAGCAAGGGATTTAAGTGCGTGCTTGAATCCAGTTGTATTCAGTAGAGCCGTTTGCCTTTTTGCATTTGGCTGTGCGCTCGAGTACCTTCCTGACTCAGTCCTAGAGCTGACTGGGAGCCGTAGGACTCTGGCGTCCCTCTATTTCATAACGCCTATATTGCTCCATACTGTTGGCTCGTTAGAAGCTGCCTGCCAGTGATTATTCCTCTGTTTTAACAGGGCCGTTGCTTGTTTGCCAGCGGCAGTCCCTTCGAGCTGGTGACTCTGAAAGATGGCAGAACCTTCAAACCAGGCCAAGGAAACAATGCTTATATTTTTCCAGGTAATAAATAAAATTGTCATCTTTTAATCTTTAAGGCTAGGCTATTAGCACCTCTTCTTGGGTTCCCTTGCTACGCTAGGCACAGTGAAGCAGCATGAGGAGGTGTTACTGGCATTTCAAGCTGAGAACTTAATCACAAGAATGAATGAAAGAAAATCAGTTCAGGATGGACGTTAGGTGTGTGCCCCTATTTATGTGACATGCACACGGTGAGCTCACCCAACTGGATATTTCTAAGAAAACAAAAGGATGCTATTAAAGGCTTTGAAAGCTGCTGCGTTATGGATTCTTCTGCTTGTTTTGGGGGGGGGGAAGGAGAAAATAAGTGTCAATACGCTCCTTTTGAAGTGATGTCTGCACAAGTGAGGGGACAAAAGAAGCACCAGGGATATTTCTCTGCCCTCCCCTTTCTCTCCCTTTCCTCCCTGAGCTGCTAAGCTCCAGCCCCTTGTCAAAAGCCACCTGTTATGGTAAATGACGAGCACACGTGGTAATAGGTTTGCGAACGTGTGTAGAAATCTATGGGAAAATTTTTAAAAGCAACATTCTGGATGACTCGCGGCTTCTCGGCAGCAGGCTGCGTTTTTTAAAATGCTGTGGCCCTAATTGGCAATAATTTTATTGTAGGCGTGGCTCTCGCTGTGATCCTCAGCAGTGTTCGGCATATTAGTGATAAGGTTTTCCTAGAGGCTGCTAAGGTAAGTGTGGAAGCAGAGTAGGCTGTGGCTTCTGATATGATGCTGGATGGCATGATGGGCAATTTCTCAAATCTTGCTGAAACTCTATGGTTTCCTGTTTGATTTCGGTTGGTTTTATCCATCCCCAATGGAAAAAAAAAATGGATTTTGATCAAACAGAACCGTGAAAAGTATCAGCTTCCATTGCAATTTTCGTTTTTTCATCCAGGAACCAAACACCCAAATAGGAAATCTGTCCGTGTGTAAATTGCCTCCCAGCCTCAGAGGTCTGGCAGCAGGCCTGCCGCCTCCTCCGGTCCCGCTCCGGGTTCCACGGCTGGCGGTGCAGTCAGGGATGCACGTGGCCCCGGGCCTCCCATCCTCTCCTGCCTTTCCGCTCCAGAGCAGGAGCACCTACCACATCAGAGTAGCCAGTGAATCAACTGGCCAAACACACAGGCAGTTCTGCAGGCGTGTTGCGTTCTTATAACTTCCATGGTTATGGGTCGTTCGGCCTCCAAAAAAATAGGATCTTATTTTGCTAAATGCTTACAAGCAGAATTTGCTGAGACGGGCACAGGTTGCAGAGTTGATCTTTGAGAATTTTGCGATTTTGTCTGCCTTATTCTAGTGCTTTGGGAGCACTCTCGTGGTAAGAACACTGCAACTTGTTTCTCTCGGGTGTTTTTGCATCTTATTGATGCCATTCGGGATGCAGTAAATAGAACTTGTTTGTTTTTCTAACTCAGGCACTGACGGAACAGTTGACCGATGAAGAACTTGCACAAGGACGACTTTATCCTCCACTGTCTAATATCAGGGAAGTTTCTATTTATATTGCTGTCAAGGTGAGTAGGAAGCGTAGAAGTGGACTGTACTAAAAGTGTTCGATGTGTACATTAACCTGCTGAATCGCACAGGATGACCCTTGAACGCTAGGTGCTTGGGCACAAAACACCCAGTTCTTTGTGTCTTTAATAAGAGACACTTAGAAAAACGTTGAGTTTGTTGAATGCTTCAGTTTGGCCGTGATGATGGGCCAAAATTTTGGTCGTTTGATTTCTGAAATTAAGTTTTCAGATCCCTGGTAAAGGCATTTAGGAATTGTAAAAAGACTCTGGTGTTTGTCTTTATGCAGTTTATGAGTCCTAAACATATTGCAGTGGACGCGTGTATGTTACGTGAATGTAGTAGAAGGCACAAACTGCATGGTGATTTAACTTTTCAGGTTATGGAATTTTTGTACGCAAACAACATGGCTTTCCATTACCCGGAACCTGCAGACAAGAACCGCTACATTCGATCAAAGGTTTGGACCTACGAATACGAATCTTTCATGCCAGATGTGTATGACTGGCCTGAATCTAAGGTTCACTGATGCATCGGAAGATCGCACTCCTCAGGCAGCATCTTCTACTCTGCAGGGATCCCTTTTTCAGACCAATTTAAATCATGATCTTTGAGTCCTGTAATTTATTTTTGCTCATTTTGTTGTCTTTTTTTCCCCTTCTGCCCTGTTTTTCACTTGACGTAGATTTCTCCCCACTCTCCCAAGTACCTGATAAACGGTATGGATGATGGCATCCGTCACAGGAATGAGAGCGCTCTCCAAAATTAATTTAAATAATGACATTGCATTTCTAGCTTAGAGCCAGCACCACACTAAAGAATTCCATTAATGATGTTTTAGCTACGTGCATTTGATGATGAACTACAGCTCTCTCATCACTGCTGATTTCCAGAATGATCTATTTCTGCTTTTAATAATCAGTCTTCTAATTGACCTAGTGTTGTCAACTGTATTATCTGTGACATCACCAGAGAGCATTTGTCAGAAGAAAAAAGGACAGCTTAAGACAAATTTAAGAGTCTAATGGGCTTTCTGTTTTGTCGGATGTTTAAAGATGCCCATGTCCAGACTTCCTTGTGGCATTGGCTGCTCTGTTTCTTTGAATGTGCTTTGAGGAGCAGCGTGGTGTGCACATGTGGAATCTGCAGCAGTGTTTGTATTTCGTGTTTTCATCCTTGTGTGAAATCTGTTATCAGGAAAAACGTGAACTAGTTAAAATTATCCTTGGAAAGCCTGAAAGTAGTATTAATCACTTCACAGCTTTTAAAAACGAAGCTACGCTGTTGCATAATAAATTCTATCGCGTAAAGGCAGGATCTGAAGTAATTTACAGAAATCTTGTAGAGTTTTTGCAAGGAGATGTTCTGCAGTGAACTCCAAGGTGATGTACCAAAGGATTTTTCTTTAATTTGTTAATTTTTTCAAGGTTCCATTTCTTCAAAGCTAAATTGTTTTCTCCCTTGCATACACTTCTCACAAAAAGACCTGTGTGTGATATTTTCATGACATCGCTGACTCAAAAACTCCCGAGTGGACTCAGTTGCCGCTTTGAACAAACCCCGCCGCACGCAGCTGATGAAGCTGAAACAGAAAGTGTTCCAGGCACCTATTGACACGCACATTTATGGAAGTTTGACTGAATACTTCTTGTGGTCTCAGTCCAGTATATTCAGTTCAGTTTGAATATGGGACTCAGAAGGTTTAATGCTTAGAAGCTCTTAAGTCGATCGCTTCATCTTCCCCTCTCTCAGGTTTAATTTGTCAGGGTTTTTTTTGCATAAAACCAAAAATTGCCAGTTGAGTTTTTCCTTGCCATGAGTAGTCCTGCACATTTGATTCTGATACCGCAATGTGCATTCCTTTTTCATTTTGTTCATATCAGGTGTGAGTGCCCTCCGTGACTTTGCGTGAGCAGGCGAGGACACACAGTGATCCTTACAGCCTGTGACTTCTCTAAATCTGCTCTCTGTAACAAGAACAATGGTATGTCAGGAACAGAAATAAAGAGAATGTGCTGCTCCATAGTTTGCTGCATCAAGGCAAAAAAGGACAAAAATAAATAAATAGATAGATGTAAAAGGGCTATACTGCCAAACTTGAAGCCGGAATCCAAAGAGATGAAGTAAAGCTTGCTTAGGATTTACCCCATGGCAAGCACCTCTCTCATATCCTCATTTTTATCGGAAAATGCAGCCTCTACAGAATAGCTCCAAAATAGAACAGGAAAAATAGTCTCTTTGCCCCCTTGGACATGGTCTCTGTCGCTTACTGCCTAGTATCTGATTTTAAAATTATGTTTGTGTATTAGATAAAGAGAACGGTAAACTTTGGGAAGGCTTTGCCTAGGTGAGGAAAGAAGACTGATTATGTAAACACAGAAACTAGTGATGAGGGGAAAAGACTGCGTGTTCAAACTGTGGTAAAGTGCTGCCAGGTGGGGCTCGAAATGCTACCTTGCCAAGTTGGGCGTTGTACGTGGTTTGCAACTTGTGTATGTAAGTATATGTACAAAAAAGACCAACACTCACACGTGATGTTTTTACAAAGAATGCTTTTTTTCATCTATTTTTGCTATGCCTGGTTTTTATTGTATTTAAATTTGTGATCTTACTGAAAAAATTATTTATTTAGTGTACAAATTATTTTTACCTTCCAAAAATTCAACTCTAGCCGAAGCCTGTTGCAGTGTGTCAGTGGAGTTCTGCATCGTTAGATTCAAGTATATTGGGAACGCACACTTCCTCACTTCTGCCAACACACGAATTAGGCAGATGAGTAACAAAAACATCCCATGCACTGATCTTGTGTCCTGGCTGAGAATGATCACAGGGGCAGGGCAATCGGTCCGTAAATATAATTCTGTCTTACAAAATAAAGATCTGCATCCGTCTATTCAGTCTGATTTTTTTTTTTTTCCCCCCAGGCAAGAAGTGCAGTCATGGTTCATAATCAGTGGGCATTGATAGTACTCAGGAAAACTCGGCGCTTGGGAAAATAGCGTTACCTGGGCACAGCAGGAGTCTTGCTTTGGGCAAGAGTGGTTTCGGTTCCCAAAGGGAGCTACCGTGCAGGAAATTCGCAGTGGCAGCGGTCAAGCTGAGGGAAGATGCCCCTTTGGTGAAGTGTAGTCCTTCCTGGCACGGGCTCTGTGCCGTCTTTAAGCAGATGCCAAGAGGGATTGTTCAGAACTGACCAGCAGTGGGATTTTCCCCCCAAGTACAAATGTTCCTGCCTAATTTTTCTGGAAATCCCACTGCAGAGGTGAGGAAAAAATAGTCTTTAACCGACTTGGAGGCTCCAGGTACAATACAGCCCTGCCCTGATGGGGCTGCAGGTGGCTCGGAGCTCTAGAGTAGAGGCGGCCTGGCTGCGTGCGTCTGACCTGTCCCAGTTACGGCAGCTCAGTGGTACCAGTTAGACTTCCATCTCTGCATACGCACCCACGGACGTTGTTTAATCAGGTTCTGTGGATCATCTCTAGCTTGCAATATAGACACGGTGGAATTTTACTTTTAATGTATAGCCACTGTTTTCTGCTAGCAAGAGGTAACACGTCAGCTCACAAAGTTTTAAGTGCATTTCACATTCCCTTTCACCTTTTTCAGAACTTTTTTTTTTTAATAAAATACATAGATTCATCTTAGGTTTTGTGTATTCTTCAGATCTAATTAATCTTTGAATTAATTACAACTGCTAATCCTGCCGCTTAGTAAGGAACCACAGTAGCCTTTTTCGTATTCTACTTAACCCAATTTTTTTCTATTTGCCAGCTTATTCAAAAGCATTTGCCGGTCTTTAGCTATACAGAAAATTCTCTTACGCAGTATGCAAAGGGAAAAAGTTGTCACCAGGATGCATTTTGTAATGCTACACAGCGTAAGTTAAGCTTATACTGTTCTTTAAAAAAAATTATCACCTAAAGGATGACGAGTGCTCTGGCTTTTCACACTGCCCTGGTGACTTTTGCCCTCCGAATGGTATAGAAGTCTGTCTTTCGTGTCTCTTCTGTGAGGATATTATTCTGGATGTAAAGAACACTTCTGAGAGGATCAGAAACTCCCACTGAGGTCAGTAGCTCAGTCTTTTCCAGCGCTGGTCCAGGACTTGCTTCCTTAAAATCAACAGGAGCAGGACCGAGCCTCTTGGCAGCAACATACAGAAATGTCTAGGGGAGGAGAAAAATGCTAGCTAAGGGAGCGCAGCTTTTTTTTTTTATGAAAACACTTGTGTTCTCATTCAAAGGTGTTACAAAGGTTTGTATGTTCCCGAAGCGTCTGCCCGTGTGACAACAATTGATCTGTAGAGGAAGACCATTAAAATGTGGCGAATGATATATTTTAAAACACAAACATGACTCGTCACAGAAGTTCTTGGTTATGTTTGTGAACAGTGATGTTTCATGATGTTGTGTTCATTTTCCACGCCTAAACCAAAGCGACGCTTCACGTGCAGATCGGTGTTTAACAGGTTTCCTGTGGTAGGTGCACGTCTCTTGTACTGTTTTATTTTTTCCAGCGCACTGTTTTGCAGGAGCGGGTAAAGTAACCCTTTGTCACACTCCTCTGGTAATAGTTATAAATGGTAACAGCTTTTAGTTTTGCATTAGCAGCCCTATTTAGTGACTACTCCTGTAGGAGAGTGGGGATCACTATTGTACAGCTACAACTGAATTTTAGTTCAGCTGACTCTGGGCCTGAGTAAATCCAAGTTGTCTTCTTTCGTTCGCTCCGGGTCTTCTTGACCTCAAAGGTGCAGATTTGAGCACCTTGGATAAAGGTATTTACAAGACCCTTGGGTCGGACTGCAAGAACAGTACAGTTTGGACTTCCATTCTGTCTCGGTTCGAAGTGCTGTTCCTGAGTTTAAGAAAACCACTGTCATTTCTGGACTCTTTTTAAGATGATGTGTACTGCTATCCCGTTTCATAACAGCCGTACGTAATAGGCAGGGACTGGTGTTACATGGAATACAGGAGCAAGGAGAAAATCTAGAGCAAAGCTCTAATTGCACCCACTTGACAGCTGAATTTGAGCAACGTCATTCAGTTGCCGCTGGTGAAGGGGCATCTAATTCTGTGTGGATCTACCCTGACCTACCTACCTACTCCCAAAATACACATTACCGTGGTATCGGAAAGCCTGCAGATGTTCTGAGTGAACTGCGAGGAAAATTCAGCACGCTTCAGACCTCTGCTTCCTGCCATCGCTTCCCGAATCGCAGCAATCGGTGAGGATGCAGCTTACTCGTGCCTTCTCCGGAGGAACGTGTGCCAGCAGCTAGAAGGTACCCGGGGAATCCGGAACCTGGTGGCACGGCAGACCATGGCTACAGCTGATGGAAAAAGCTCCCTCGCATCAGACGTTTTGCTTGTGGTGCAGGAACCCTGTGCTGGGCATTTATATTCCCCGCACACGAAGCGGGCGCTGGATTGAACGGAACTCTCCGAGTACCTTTGACTTTGACTTATCCGTCCTTTAAGTAGTTCCTTTCTAATGAAAATGGAAATAAAAATACTTGTAAGACTACAC